AACCTCTGATCTTCTGTCATTCTATATTAGTTGACCTTTTCTAGAACTTCATAGAAATTAAATCATGTAGTACATATGCTTTTTATTCTAACATCTTTTCCCCCAGCATAATTATTTTGAGATTCATTCATCTTGTAGAATGTACCAATAATCAATTCCTTTTTAATACTGTGTTAGTGGGGCCAGCACATGACATGGTGGTTAAAGCTGCTGGCTTCCCACATGTTGACCATGGTTCAAGTCCTGGACCTGGTAGCTTGCTTTCTCACTTTCCTTCTCTTTCTGTCTGATCAAACTGGAAAATAATAATAATAAACAAATCTAAATAATTCATTTAAAAAATACTGTGTAGTATCCCATTGCATGGTCATACCACAGAGGTGAAGATTCGTATTATCTTCTAGGGTTTAAAATATACCCAGAATAATTTTAAGTGAATAACCAGGCCTGGAGATACACATTGTACATGAAATAAATTCCTCAGTAATATCCAGTGAGCCTCCACAAGGAAAAATAAGCTATTACAGTCTTAAAGGACTTCTTTTCATCCTATTGTGCCCTTTCCTATTTAAGAACCCTTAAGACTGACATTGCCCATAGGTAGATTTCAGTCATATGACTTACCTCTTCCTTTCCCTATTCTTCATCCCTACTCTTCCCAAATTACAAATATACACAATCCCCTTTCCCAGTCTCTCAGCTTCCTAACTTTTTTATCTGCTAAGATATAGAACATATTTTATTGGAACATTGATCAAGAGGCTCCATTCTAATTCAAAATTATTTTTCATAGGTCCAGGATTTCTTTCTATAGTGAAGAATGAGGGGCTGAAATGCAAATTCTGTGGGTGAAATTGTAGAAAAGGTGCTGTTGTGATGATCCTGTGGGTTTTGATTATCTCCTAAGGGATTTTTGAAGGATGCTTTTTTAAAGAGGGAAAGAATACAGGTGATTTCAAGAGAAGAGTTCCAAAGGGAGATCCACGGCACAGAAATGAAGGCTTGGTCTCAAAAGAAAAGCCACACAATGGGACCAGCAGTTAGCGTAATGGCTATGTCACTGGACTCCCATGTAGTCAACTGTGGTTCGAGTCCTGGACCCAGTGGCTTAAACTCACACTAGGCGCTGTGCATGCATGTCCAAGATCCCAAGAGGAGAATGGAGAAGGGATTGTGGCGTGGCCTGGGGGGTGATTTCTCGCTTTCGCTCTCTCTGTCTGTCTCTGCCTTTCTGGCAAACGCACACGCCCTATAGCAAAAACCTCTCAAAAAAATGCCACACTCTTCTGTGCATCAGCCTTGGAGCCAGCCTCCCCAGCTAAAGGGAATGAACAGTTCTGACTGTCCCAAGCAATTTCATGGGGTCTGTATATGACATCTATGAAAACCTTTGTGTTAACCGAAGTTCCATGTACAAATTCTGCTTTAACATTAAACTAACTTTCTCTAAGTAACTTGCAGCCCTGACTCCTATCACTCAGTTACTACTTGGTCTGTTATTGCTTTCAAGTGATGTCAAAATGTGTTTTCTTCATTATCAAACCCAGATGTGCTGTTGAATTCCTCTGGCATGAGAGAAACCATTCTGTCTGCATGTGCACATGTGTATATGCACACCTCACGGACACACACACTAAGCTGGAAAACGGAAGAGGAGGGGATGTTGTGGAGCAGTCTGGCAGTCTTTCAAAACCCAAGACTTAGAAAGCAAATTAAGAGGAAAAGAACAAAAACAGAATAGCAGCCTACTTATGGCCTATGTTCGATACTGTTTTACATGAGGAAGGATATGAGGGACAAGGGAAGGAAATTATTAGCTGAGCAATTACTATATACCCTACACTTCATATATATATCAAATCTTATGTTTCTAGGGCAACCCTAACAATATTTATTTATACCCTTATTTTATATAGATGAGGAAAATGGGGCCTGAAGATAAGTAACTTGCCCAATAGCCACCCAATCAGTAAACCATGAAACTGACCTGAGTCTCTCTCAACTCCAGAATTGCTACACCTTCCTCTTCTCTTATTTCCTGAATGGAGGAAGCTCCAGCAGATAAGAATTAGATGGAGGTGAGCCAGGGCAGGTGTATTTATGTAAATCTTCTTCAGGGTTTGAAGAACAGGAA